ACTCCTCAATCTTCCTCACATCCCACATCCAATAAAAGCCTCCTCCGTTAACTTTCTAAACCTGTCTCGAATTTATTCTTTCCTCCACATCAACTACCACTATGCTAATCATGACCAAACTCTTAAATTTTAAAAATTAATAGTCTTTAAACACACAGATTGGGACACATATCACCTTTTTTTTGTGCTTTTGAGACAGAGTCTTGTTCTGTTGCCCAGGCTGAGGTGCAGTGGCATGAACACGTCTTACTGAAGCCTTGACCTCTTGGGCTTGAGTGATCCTCCTGCCTCAGCTTCCTACATATTACTTTTTAAAAGTATTATTAGAAAAAAGAAAACAAACATCTACTGCAATAGTTCTTTCTCATTAACCTGACTGATTCCTTTGAAAAGAAGGTTGTGACGCTATGAATTTTGTTTTGATTGTTGGAACGGGAAGCAAAGGTCTCCTGTATATTGACGTAGGACTTTGCAGTTTCTGTCAAGTGACCCAGGGGAAATAGGAGTATGAATTTACTTGATCAGGAATGTTCTTGTCAGCCTTAAGAGAACATGCCAGGATATACTTTGTGTACCCTCACAAAAATATGCCCAGAGAAGGCCAGAGGTCAGAATACCATTCATTCCAACCTTCGATCTCATCTCCTCAAGGTTATGGTCGCCAAAAGGTATGCTGGGAACTCTCCAGAGGGCTATGGGTGCGGTGAGTAATTGGATCAGGCAGGAATAAAGCTGGGGATAAAGGAACCAGCTAAGCCATGAAGCTGATCTCTGGTGAGATGATCAGTGAGTAAGCTGGTGTGGCAAACTGGTTTCAGCATGGTTGTCTCCACCCGGCAGGTCGTACCAGGGAGCTCAGAGCAGGATTCCAGGAATAGAGCCAGGAATTAAGGCAGCTGGCAGTGCCATGAGCCTATGCTCTTTTCGACTCAACACCAGCTGGTGCCGTTCATGCCACCTTCCATGAATGAAACCAATGAGAAATGAAGTTCTCTGTTTGTAAGCCAAATAAGCAACTAAGCCACTTTTGAATCATTTTCTCAATCAGATCATTTTTTAAAAAAAGTCTTGTAGCCTTGTCTTTTCTAAATGCGTTATTTTAGTGGTTTGTGGAAAGTATTTATATTCTTGGGCTGTTTTTTGGGTCAAGATAGTAATAGGACTTCTATCTCAGGCAATGTGACAGATGAGATTGCTTGGAAAGCTTATTAACATAACACACTTAAAGATGCTGGGCAAAATATAACAAACATCTTTTGAACTCTTTAACTGACCTGTGTGTGGAGTGGCAAGGATTGGTAGAAGAAAAATCCCCAAGGATCCCCACCCCAACACACACACACAAAGAAGGAAAATAAAAAACAGAATTGTCACTAACTGATTCTTCATTTATCACTTTCCTTGGGGAGGACATTGATTGTCTCACAAACAAGAGTTGGAGAAGCGTCATAGGGCCTACTGGGCCGAGTTGGAACTGAGACCTCACCGTAAAGCTGGACCCTTCAGAGAGCCCCGCCCTTAGTAAAGGTGTGATTAGAATCAGTTTACCCTTCAGCAGTGGGAGACAACTAGGAAGCTAGTCAGCTTCAATGTGGGGGAGAAAACCTTTCTCCTGAGAATTCTTAACCTTAGATGAGTCCTCAGGCTGGTCTGAGAAATGCTAAAGCAAGATGTTAACCATAAAGTTTACTGTTCTTGGGGGCCCAGAAAGATGTAAATGTTAAACACCTCTGAGTCGAACATCTTTGACTCCTATAATGGTCAAATTACATAACAATTAGATAAGAAAAGATGTTTAAAATAAATAAAAAAAAAAAAGAAAAAAAAGCTTGTTCATGATAAACCCTCAGAAAACCAGGGAATAGTAGGAAATTTACTCAGTTTAGAGTAAATTGAGGATAACTGTAAGAACCTACAGCCAGTACCATTCTTAAAAGATGAAATAGAGAATGCATTCCTCTTATGATCAGGAGCAAGATAAGGATGTCAGCTCTTACCCCTTTTAGTCGACTCTGTACATACTAGAGTTTTTGCCAGTGTAATAAAGCAAGAAAAAGAAATAAAAGGTATAAATATTGAAAAGAAAAGAGTAGGTCTGCCTTTAGTAGCAGATGACATCATTGCATGCAGAGAAAACCCAAAGGATTTACAAACTACCAGAACTAATAATTCAGCAAGGGCATCAAATACAAGGTCAATATACAAAATCAATACTTCTATATATGTATCAGTTTCCAAGGTCTGCTTTAACAAATGTCACAAATTTCATGGTGTTTAGAAACACTAACTTACTATCTTAACAGTTGTTATTTATTTATTAATTTATTTTTTTGAGATGGAGTCTCACTCTGTCACCCAGGCTGGAGTGCAAGGGTGTGATCTTGGCTCATTGCAACCTCTGCTTCCTTGGTTCAAGTGATTCTCCTGCCTCAGCCTCCTGATTGGCTGGGATTATAGGTATGTACCACCATGCTAATTTTTGTAATTTTTAGTAGCTAAGGGGTTTTACTATGTTGGCCAGGCTGGTCTCGAACTCCTGACCTCAAATGATCCTCCCGCCTTGGCCTCCCAAAGTGCTAAGATTACAGGTGTGAGCCACTGTGCCTGGTCTCTATCTTACAGTTCATGAGATCAGAAGTCTGAAAGGGGTCTTGCTGGGCTAAAATCAAGGTGTTAGCAGGGCTGCCTTCATATCTGGAGGCTCTAGGAGAGAATCTCTGTTTTTTGCCTTTTCTGGTTTCTGGAGGCTGTCTCATAGTCCCCTTCATGTTCAAAGGCAGTTCTCACATTGTGTGACTCTGATACTGTGACATTGATTGTGCCTTCTTCCACACTTAAGGACCCTTATGATTATGTTGGGCCCACCCAGATAATGCAGAATAATCTTTCTATTTTAAGGTTCATTGATTAGCAACATTAATTCCATCTGCAATTTTAAATCCCCCTTGCCATATAATGTAACATATTGATAGGTTCTAGGGATTAGGACATGGACATCTTTGGAGGTGGGCTTTTTCACCTATTACAATTTACTATCAGGTAGAAAATGAAATTTGAAAATGCTGTATGTAACAGTGTCACAAAATAAAATACCTATGAATAAATTTAATTTAAAATGTACAAAGCTGCTATACTGAAAACTAGAAAATATTGTAGAAAAAAATTTTTTTAAAAGATTTAAATTAATGGAGAGATAGATCGTATTATTCGTGGATTGGAAAACTCAGTACTTTATGATGTCACTTCCCGAAAATATCTGTAGGTTCACTGCAATCCTAATCAAAATCTCAACATGTTTTTTTTTGTAGAAATTGACAAGCCAATTCTAAAATTTATGTTGCAGTGCAAAGGACCCCTAACTGCAAAGGCAATCTTGAAATCAGAACTTACTTTACCTGATTTCAAGATTTACTAGAAAGCTACAGCAGTAATTAAGCCAATGCGATAGTGACATAAGGATAGACGAGTAAACAGAGCAAAACACAGTCTTGAGATGGATCCACATACACATGGTCAATTGCATTGTGACAGACGTGCCAATGCAATTCAATGAGGAGAGGGAATTTTTTTTAACCAAAGGCTCTGGAGCAACTGGATAAACATATGGAAAATGGAATTAAAAGCAGGAGAAAGGATTAAAGATAAAATACAAAAAGACGAGGACAGCTTGGCTAGTGTTGGGGGAGTTGGAAGGGCTTGAATGGCAGAATGAAACAAGATCCACTGCGTTTCAGTGGGGCTTCCTTCTGCCAGTTTCGTAAAGCAGTATCCTCCATTCCCCTCTGCCGCTCTTTGAGCTGTAGGCTGGTGTGCTAAGCAGAATTCTAAGATGGTCCCCAAGATTCCCACCCCCTGGAGTACATGCTTTGTACAATTCTCTCCCCTTGAGTGTGGAGGAGTCTGTTAATTTGATGGTGTAGTTACTATGGTGATTACCTTCCATTACTTAAGACTCCCTCGTAGGTGACTTGGAGAGGGGAGGGTTGGAAGTCAGAGGGACGTGCTCCACATTGCCTGGAGGAAAACAAACATGCATGTTGTGAAGTGCCTATGGGGTCCACACTGCAGGGAGCTGCGGGCAGCCTCTAGGAGCTGAGAGCAGTCCTCTGCAGACAGCTGGCAAGTAAACAGGGATCTCCTCCCTACAACCCTAGGCAACTGAATTCTGCCAACAATCTGAATGAGCTTGGAAGGGGACCCCAAACCTCAGATGAGAGCCATAACCCCAGCCATCACCTTGACTGTGGCCTTGTGAGAGCTGAGCCAATGATGCAGCTAAGCTGTGCCCACACTCCTGGCCTATGGAAACTGAGATAATGGATTTCCATCATTTTAAGCCACTGATTTTGTGGTACTCTGTTACCCAGCAATAGAAAATGAATGCAGATAGCAGGTCTGTCCCAGCTGCAAATGCCATCCTGCACAGGACCAATTTCGATTTCTCTCTTCATACGTGCGTTAGGAATTGGTCTTCCCAGAACAGACAGCCAAGCTGTTTTGGACATGGTTGAAGTGGATAATACCCACCACGACTGAGGATATGAAAGGTCCATTTGGGGTGAAAGGAATTAATATTTCTCTGAGTCTTTGACCTATCCCCTTCTGGGATCCTCGATCTAATCAAACATTCCAAGTATAGTAGAAAGCCCAGATCCTCCTCACAGAGTGTACTGAGCTGAGCTTTCAAAACTGGGGTTCAGGGCTGACCTTTGGAGTACGGAAAACCAGGCATTTGCTATACTGGTCATACCTGTGGAGGAAACCTGCAGTAAGATGGTACCATGGATACTTGGGAGTTCATTCATAGCAGATAAATTCTGGTCCGTTTGCTGGGGGCATGGTGACCAGTGGGAACCTGATCAGGCTGGACCTTCATGTCTCAGAATCTAGGCACTGTTGAATCTGACAGTTTGGGCATTTTAATATCTGCAGTAAGTTAACCTGGGAAAGCAGGGCGGATATGCAAAACCAGTTACAGACTTTTCCTTTCCTCATTGCAGAATCAAAATTACAAGGGCCATGGATTGTCAAAGGGAAAAGAGCGGTGAGTGGTCCCATCCAATCCAACAATCACAGAGCAACCAACCTCCCTTCCTCCCTCCCTCCCTGTGTTTCTTCCCTCCCTCCCCTTTTCAATCCCTCTCTCCCTTTTCTACTTTAATAATTATAATGAAAATGATGGTAGTAGTAGTAATCCTAAACCATTATTGAGCACTTACTATATGCCAGGCTCTGGGCCCGTCACTTTACCTGTATTAGTTCACCGAACCCTGACCACAGCACTCTGAAGTAGATACTACTATTGTGTCCATTTTACAGATGGAGAAACTGAAGCTCAAAAAGACTAAGTGACCTGCTCAAGATCACATGATCAGTTAGGGACAGAGCTTGTTGGACTCCAGGACCCACTGTCTAACTTTGGTCTCTCCTGCCTCCAACAACCCTGTGACGACTTGATGACTTGCATGTCAGCTGTGCTCTGATCATCCGCTTCACTCTGCATCGACAACGTGGATGCTGAACTCAGCACCCCTTTGGATCTCCTAAAGAGAATCCACTTGCGCAAAGCGGGAGTGAGCAATGTAGAGTTTATTGAAGATTCCTGTGGGGAGTTAGAGGCGTTCGTTTACATAGCAAATGTTATAAATAGTCTGTTCTCTAGTTCATTAGCTATTTCTCTTCTTTCTAAAATTCCTGCTGGCTGTGCCACCACTGAGGAGGGCATGTGTGATTTGGGACGCTTCTCTCATGCAGCACTCGTCTTCTTTGCCTTCTTTCTCTCCATACTGACTATCCCACCCACTTCAAATCTCTCGTTCTCTTATGCAGTGCAACTCAGCAATGTTTCAGATCCTGGCCCTAAACATATTTGCCCAGCCTAGCCCCCTCCCAACAAAACAAAGAGCACCCCACTTAACAGGCCTGTGTTACGCTGTTTTTGCATTGCTATAAAGGAATACCTGAGACTTTTTATTTTTATATATTTTTTGAGACAGTTTTGCTCTTTTTGCCCAGGCGGGAGTGCAGTGGCATGATCTCGGCTCACTGCAACCTCCGCCTCCCAAGTTCAAGCAATTCTCCTGCCTCAGCATCCTGAGTAGCTGGGATTACGGGCGCCCACCATGCCCGGCTAATTGAGACTGAATAGTTTATAAAGAAAAGAGGTGTAACTGGTTCATGGTTCTGCAGGCTTTACAGGCATGGCACCAGCACCTGCTCAGCTTCTGATGAGGCTTCAGGGAGCTTACAATCATGGTGGAAGGCAAAGGGGGAGCAGGCACTTCCCATGGCAAGAGTCAGAACTAGTGGGAGGTCCCAGGCTCTTTTAAATAACCAGATCTCCCATGAACTGAGTGAAAATTCACTTATCACCGAGAGGATGTTGCCAAACCATTCATGAAGGATACATTCCCAGGATCTAATCACCTCCCACCAGGCCCCACCTCCAAAATTGAGAATCACATTTTAACTTGAGATTTGGAGGGGACAAACATCCAAACCATATCGAGGCTCCATATACTTATTTTATAGAGGCACACACACACACACACACACACACACACACATTTATCATAAAATATTTTTTATTTATGTGCCTTATTAGGGGACACATAGATATTCGTTCCACTACCAGTAAGAGAAAACTCAGTAATAGCAGCTTAAACAAATTGTACTTATTTTCTTCACATTACAAAAAGTCTGGAGTGCTGGTACAGTGGTTCAGTAATGTCAGAGCCAGCGTCTTCATGATTGTCTTTTTTTTTCGAGGTGGGGTCTCACTCTGTTACCCAAGCTGGAGTGCGGTGGTACGATCATGGCTGCTCACAGCAGCCTTCCTCTCCTGGGCTTACGCAGTCCTCTGATCTCAGCCTCCTGAGTAGCTGGGACAACAGGCTCATGCCAGTGTACCTGGCTAATTTTTAAAATTTATTTTTTGTAGTTTTGAGGTCTCCCTATGTTGCCCAGGCTGGTCTCCAACACCTGGCCTCAAGTGATCCTCCCCCCTCGGCCTCCCAAAGTGTTGGGATTACAGGCATGAGCCTTCATGATAGTCTTGAACTCTTCCTCATGGAGACCAAATGGCCACTACAGCTCCAGTCTTCATGTCATGATCAAGACAGGAAGAGCGAGGGAAGACTCAAGCCACATCTCTCCAGCAAAACTTTCCCAGGAACTTAGCCTGCCTAGCAGTCTTATGCTTTTTCTTATTGACTAGAATTGTGTTACATGGCCAACCCCAACTGCATGGGTAGCCAGGAATACAAGTTACATGAGTGTCCTTGTACTGTGATTACTATTCTGCACCCTGCTTTTGTCACAAAGCTCTGAATGCATTGTAACTGCTACTGCTGCTTCATTGTGTATTGCTCGTTATTTATCCGTCTTCCTGTTGAAAGGCACTTACGAAGTATTAGTTTCGCCAGAAGCCGACCCTGAGGGAAGGAAGTAAGAGCAGATGGTTTATTTAGAAGGTGATTCCAGTGAGCACTGGCAGGGAAATGGGGAAGTAAGACAGCTAAGGAAGGAAACCAGTAAAAGGTGCACCATCGACAGGTTATTGCTATGGGCAAGTGGGCTCAAGCCCCCGGGGAATTCCTGGGAGAACGTAGAATGCACTGTGGTCTTATCCTAAGTGTGAGATGGGAGACTTAGCAGATTTATCCACTGACTCCAGTCGTCACTGGTTGTATGGTGTTCACAGAGGGGCAGTTCACTCTGGTGCTTCCCATCTGCTCCACATGCTAGCTGAGCAGACTCCGGGGCCAGGGAAAGCCCTCAGGTAGCGTGGCAGGTGCTGGCAGTGGAAAGCTGTTTGATTCCCATGCACAGGAGTGGTGAATGTCAAAGGGGTATGGGCGGACCACCAACAGTGCTTGCTACAGGTAATTCCTATAAAAAAATGAGCAATTACAGATAAGCATCCTTGCACGTGTTTCCTGGTAGAAATGCAGAGTACAAACCCACGGTATAGAGCTAGCATGGGCTGCTGAGTTTAGGGTACTGTACGTGCATATTCGACTTCACTAAAATAAAAGTCGGTGGCCCTCTAGAGTGCATTCCACCAGCGGAGAAGGAGTTTCCATTTTATCCCATTTTTGCCAAAACTTGGACCTTTAGATTTTTGCTGGTCTGATGTGCATGACGTAGTCCTTGATTGTTGTAATGTGCCAAATTGCTCTCCAAAGCGGTGTCCAGCGTGCACTCCATCAGCATTGTAAGATAATTGTTATTTCTCCACATTCTTTTGAACACTTGTTATTTTTCTGATTTTTTTTTTTTTTTTTTTGAGACGTAGTATCACATTGTCGCCTGGCCTGGAGTGCAGTGGCATGATCTCAGCTCACTGCAACCTCCACCTCCCAAGTTCAAGCAATTCTCCTGCCTCAGCATCCTGAGTAGCTG